AACAATCGTGCCAAATTCCTGGTGTATTCATCATTATGGGCTAACTGACCTGCCTTTTTCATTCAATCATTCCTCCGTGGTGCCCCGCCGGTATATACCGATAGCGCGGGTGGGGTTACCATTCCATTATCATCCATTAAAAAAACCCTTGCTATACATTATGTTATTATGAGTAACTAGCTACGTAATGGCTTGTCAATAACGAACAATAGTCGTTTTAAAGTGATTAGCATTAGAAATAGCAACAAAACCGTATTACTGATCTAAAAACACTATTGTCATGCATATTGACCGAACTACATACATAATAGTAGTGGACTATTTACAATCTTATTATATTTTTTTTATACAACTTAGAATGGCAAACAAGCTGACGGCCCACCTGATGGAAAGTGGTAACCGTCGCCTATAGACATGAGCAGTACCGTGGACATAACAGAGTATACCGTTTCGCCCATGATACCCCCCATGCGCTGCCATTTCTGAGGACTCAGGTGTTCTGTAATTTGGTAATATACGTAAGCCGTGTGGTCCCGGCATAGAATAGGCCACCCCTTCCTTTCCCGTGGGTGTCGTAAAAGGCGACTAAAGAAGTTAATTGGCCAAGGATAGGCAGTAAAGTCCTTCTTTAAATATTACACAAGCCTATCTGCGGTTGCCAAACTCCCTACCAAATGTGGCAAACTACTGCTAAAATCCTTCAATATGGAAGAGGCCTATGCTCTGCAGTGGCTAAATGACTGATATGATGATGAACGTAAATAACCTCTAACCAATGCTAATATACTATAAATGAGGAGTAGGGGGAAAGGGATTGTTAGTAATGGGGACTACCGGCCCCATTGCTAGCAATATACCCTAGCAGGTCGAACTCCACGTGGTCCCACTTGGACACCATCGTGCTGATTTCCTGGTGTATTAATCGCGATGGGCTAACTGACCTACCTTTTCATCTCACCTATTATCCCTCACTGGGGCCTCGCCAGCGTATACCGTTAGCGCAGACGGGTTTTTTTAATGGGTAATAATGGAACGTAACCCCACCCACGCTATCAGTATACACCGGCGGGGCACCAGTGAAGGATGATAGATGAGGATAAAGCAGGTCAGTTAGCCCATCGTGACGAACTCAACAAGAATTGTTCACGATGGTTTCTAGGGGGAACCACGTGGAGGTCGACCTGATAGGGCATATTGCTAGCAATGGGGCTGTCAAACTCCATTGTTAACAATACCTTTCCCTCCATACAGACGGGGTTACCATTCCTTTATCACACATAAAAAAAAAGTAAGTGGAAAGATTTACTGTTGCCAACAAGAACAGAGTAATTTTATTATACCTCTTAACGCATACTAAATGTACTCATAAAATTAGTATAGTAATAACTAATTAATACATTAATACCAGCTTTGTTATTTATCATATAGAGTTTGTTTAAGAATGTTACAAGACGTAATGCGATGACGCGCGCCGTATCGCCAGCTAATCGACATTGCAAGAGTGAAACAAAGAGGGGCGATAAAATTGTGGTTATATAAACGACAGGCTACGTTGACGATGATAAACGTAAAAAGAGAAGTTATCGCCACCTCACTGGACTCTGGCTAATGATTAACTCAAATAATGATTACGCTTTTTTTTTAATAGGATGATAATGGAATGGTTAACCCCGTACTTGCGCTGACAGTATACGCTGCGGGGCACCAGTGAGGGATGATAGGTGACAATGAAAAAGTCCGTTAGCCTATCGTGATGAATTCACTTGGAATAAAACACGATAGTTTCCAGAGAGACCCGCGAGGAGGTCGACTTGACAGGGTATATTGTTAAGACTTGGACTACTAATCCCCATTTTTAACAGTCCATTATCTCCCTAATTATTATTCTATCTGCTGTTATGTTTGTTGTATGATAAATTAAATTAAAGTGTAATATTAGATGACAATTCCGAGCTTGGTGGGGGGGAAGGGATTGTTAGTAATAGGAGGTTAGTCCCCATTGCTTTCAATATACCCTATCAGGTCGACCTCCACGCGGTCTTCACTGAAAACCATCTATCAACTGACCTACCTTTTCATTCTCACCTATCATCCCTCACTGGTGCCCCGCCAGTGTATACCGATAGCGCAAGCGGGGTTACCATTCCATTATCATCCATAAAAAAATCTAAGCTTGGTATTTAGATACCGTTTTCCTGGATACCTATTAATATCGCTTCATCATATCATCAGATTAGCCTTTAATTGTCCACTGCTGAAAAGACCTTTCCCTATTAAGGGAGTTTGCTAGTAGTTGTCACGTTTGACATACGAATTGGGAATCGCAGTTAGACTCCAGTGATGTTTTTAAAGGAACGCTACTACGTATCCCCTGACCATTATGTTCCCTTAGTCGCCCACGTTACGACACCCACGGGAAAGGAAGGGGTGGACCACACGGCAAATATTCCTAATAAATAAAATATAAGGTCTAGATTTAACATTGCAGATATATGTATATGTAGTTAGTAGATGTTTTCTCCCACGAACACTCCGGTTATGGAATGAGCACCCTGCCGAGGTTTTCTCAAGAGTCTACAGCATAGGGTTCTTCAAAAGGGGGTAAAGAGGTTTATTCAGGGTCGGCAACGCACGCGTAATACCCCTAGTATTTCAGGCATTCATAGGTTACGGTAACCGCTTACCATCAGGTGGGCCGTATGCTTGTTTGCCACCTCAGTGGTTTAAAAAAAAATCATTTAATTTCGATATCCTTTGATCAGTTATAACATTTTTATCTTTGGAAATATAAATTTACCTAAATTTTAAATAAATATTTCCACTAAATCATCATAATTCGAAAGGAAGTCGACTTAGTGACAAACTGACTTGACTTCCCTTCGAGTAACACAATACAATTGACGTAGGATGTGATGTTATAATCATTGTTCATATTGTTCATTGTTAACATTTGGTTGTTTTAAACTATTCAGATAGGATAAACTTAAGGATATATATATATATTTTTTAATTTATAGGGATGTTATGGTAACCCCACCTGCACTAACGATATACACTGGCGAAGTACCAGTAGGGAAAAATGAAAAAAGAGGTCAGTTTTTTTATAGGTGATAATTAAATAGTAACCCCACCCGCGCTATCGGTATACACCGGCGGGGTACCAGTGACGGATGATAGGTGAGGATGAAGTAGGTCAGTTAGCCCATCGTGACGAATTCAACGAGAATTGTTCACACGTGAACCACGTGGAGGTTGACCTGATAGGGCATATTGCTAGCAATGGGGCTGTCAAACTCCATTGCTAACAATCCCTTCCTCCCAAAAGGAGATCAGTTAACCCATCGTGATATGGGATTTAGCACGATGGTGAATACACCTGAAAGGGTATATTACTAACAATGAGGAACGGGTAGCCCGCATTACTAACAATCCCTTCTTCTAATATATAGAAACGCGAAGACGTCTACAGAGCTACTATGATACAGTTTACTGTTGACATAGGCCATTTTAGAGGCATTTTGCTAGTACTTGCAACGCTTAGCAGGCGAGTTGGTAACTGCAGTTAGAATTTGATGACCTTTTAAGAGGGACGCTGCTGTCCATTCCTCGACCATTATGTTCCCCTAGTCGCTTCTTACAACACGCGGGAAAGGAAGGGGTAGCCCATTCTATACCGAGACTACACTACCCCACGGGTTCATATCCGTTATAGAAGTCAGTTGAAAGAAATGAAATGAAATAAAATAAAATTAAATGAAATAAAATTAAATAAATTTATTTTGCGAAGAGCCAATCTCGTCGATAAGTGCCTCTTCCATAATGTTAAATAAAGAGATTATTATACAACTATAACATAAACTATTTATGTAAATGTTAATTCATAATAAAATTAGTTCCTAAATTTTAACAATGAAGTTAGAATTAACATTATAGATGTCGGTTGTGAATTGTGATTTTGACACAGCACTCATGTGTCGAGTTTCCAATACGCCTGTTGTACATTACGCGACCTTGTTAAGAGGACCGCCTTGAAGACAAACACGCGTGCGTGCGCTAGCCCTAAGGTTGTATCGACTCGATATCCTCTTCTTCATGTTTTCCTGTTTGCATTGCACGTCAAGTTATGTTACCTAGTTATGGCAGTCGGAATTTTTTGTGAGTGACTCATGTTAAAATGACATTTTAATAAGTGAGCATGTTTTAAGGAGGGTATTAAGTAACAATATGGATGGCTATGACAGAAGAAGGCCTAAAAAGACATGGATGGGCTATATCAAAAATGATATAGCCATAATGGGAGTGATTGAGGAAATGACTGCGAATAAACATGAATGGAAGAGAAATACATATTATTATGTTATGACGTCATAAGTGTAAATCCGAATTACCAATTATTTTACTCGATAGGTAAAATTTCTTAATTTCAGATGATTAATTTCAGTTAAATAAATAAATACACAAAAGGATTACTGAGTAATAACAATTAGTTCTTAAAGCAGTAATATCTAACGGTCAAATGCACTAACAAAGACTATGTTGGTATATAAGTCCGACATAAACAGTTAACGTACCATTTACTTTTATTATTCTTCGATTTTTTGCATCAAACAATAGTAGCTTTAAAACATAATATAACCGGCAAACTGAATGGGCCGCGTTAGTCGTGGTTTTAAATATTGTGCAAAAACAACACGAGGTCACACAACACGACAAACAAGGACGCACGTTGCACCTACAACGAAAATACGACTATAGGAACCAGTAGGGCAACTGAATTGTGATATGACTTAATCATTTTTACTTGCTTTGTTAACCAACCCAAAACAATGCTGGATTTTAAAGCGAAAACAAAAATTATTTATTTGTTAAAGCTCTAAAACTTGAAGAAACCCGAGAAAATCTGATATAAAATAATATTAAATTCCATAAAGATAGGAAAATAAATAAATGATACGGAAAACATAAAACCGATCTTTCAAATCTAATTTCCTGAAACTTACCTAAATATTCTTTAATCCACTTCTTTTTAGGCGGGGCCCTTGAAACTTTATCGTGATCCTTGACTTCGTCTTTGACCTGGCTTTGGCGGAAAGTCGAAGTGGACGGCATTTCGATCTCAGGTACGCGGGGCGCAGGCACGAAAGAGGATATTATTTGCTGCGACGGAAATCCATAGCCGCTCAAAGGAGTGCCGTTAACGGGGAATTGTTGATAAGTTTTCAGTGTTATCGGGATCTGTTCGACGATACTACCAAACTCTGTTTCCCTGGTATTGATAGCGATGGTGTGCACCGTGTCGGGATAATATTCGCCAGGAGATCCCATTGTGCCAAAAAATTCAGGCTCCGCGCGTCGTCTTCGGCAGCTGGCGGTACCCAGATTCACTCGGGTGGTTTCCATTAGTATACCCATTCTATGATGGGACACAACAATTGTTAACTATTAGTCCTCATTGTTTTAACCTCACTTACGTCCTATACGATTTTATCATAATTTAATAACAGTTCACACTTCACTTTCTAGTTTTTTCAACTATTCATATTGACGGCAATTAACGCTTTAAATTAATTAGAAATGTACTCATAGCGTGTGCATTTGCGAGGTCCTAATAAAAAAAGCTAATGTACATTATTCCTGTATTATTTAATTGAAAAATACGTCTTTGATTGACGCTATCTATAAAACAAAAGATAAACAGCAAATTTAATTAATATTGCAATAACGAGAAACACTATTGGTCTGTCAGATAAAAATCTGCATGATAACCTCTGCGTGAAAATTAATGGAACAAACACGAATTCATTTACTATTCAGTAAAAAAAAATAATAGTAATATAAAAAATAAATATATTACACACTTTAGAATTTTGACGGTGGCCAGTTAAATTGAAAATCTGTTTATATCACAAACAGATACACTACAACCAATAAAGTGGTAAGAATACGCTAAATTGAAAAATAAAGATAACTTATGAAAACATAATAGTAATAAAGATAAAAACATAATAAGTGAAATCAATAAGACAGTCTCAGTTGCTACCTACGCACAATAATATTTGTGAGAGCGCAAATGTGTGTGAGCAAGGCAGAAGGCAACAACATAAATGGGTGATATAAAATAAGCTAGGAACCCTGCCGTCGGCGATGGACGGAGAGGCACAGTCGCGATGCGCGGTGCTCAACAAGTGAGGGGAGGACGACGGACGATCGCATGGAATGGCCCGCCGGCACGTGCACTCTGTGCCCCGCGCGCCCTCCCTCCACTTGCCACCCGCAGTCGCACTGACAGTTAAAATCACCTCCTACTGCATCTTACCGTCCTGGTATCACGGCTTAACGAATTGGCAGACATAGTGGATTCAAATAAAAAAAAAGGAAGAAAACAATATTGAACGTAAATACAATCTAAAAAAACATTCAAAGAAACAATAAAGTAAATTGATTCCGAAGCCGAATGATGAAAACTTTTATGAACAAATAAAGATTAAATAACAAAAAGGAATGAATACATACATACAAGTTAATCGAATTTCACTATCATTTCCTATCTTGTTTTCTATTGAGAGAAATATTTAATCTTTATGACGCGAATTAATCAATAAATATATAGGATTATAGAATTTACAGTAAGTAAAATACAAAGTTAAATTCACAGGTGTTACCAATATGCACACTAGTAAAAAAAAAAACATTGTTATCGCTCGATTTTGTCAGCCTCGTAGTAATAGAGTTTACGTGTGTTTAGTAAACGGTGCTGATATCGAGCAATAACAAACGATGAATAGGTAAAACATTGAAACATTCTAGACCAACCTACGACTTTGGTTTAAACAGAAACAATAAGCAATGAAAGAATGAAAAAGTCGAATACATGGAATTAAAAAAAAGAAGAAGATGAAAAAATAGGCAGAAGAATGGTTGATCATTGAACATCATGTCGAGAGTAAAGTCTCAGACAGATGAACGGGCATACGAAGGAAATGCATACACGCGCGGATTATATAAGCCGATACGAACGACATGTGCCTATGTTTATATTATGTAATTGGCTACTAACACAGCGCGAGCCAGAGTACAAACATAATACCTAGCTAGGAGGCTGAACCATGGCACTTAATACGATCCTATTACTCATAATATGCGTCAATTATATTATGATGGAAACAAGACTTCCAGAATTATGTTCGTAATCTCTATCAATTGAATGTCGTAATACAACTATAGGTGCATTATTTTAAAATTTACCTAACATGAAAGACTTGGTAAAAAAGTGTAGAAACAGCTTGCAACCGAAACTATTTGAATTCAGAATGAGAATGAAAATATTCGAATTTAGAACGCGGAATTGTATCTGCAAGTAGCCTTTGCATTGCAACAAGCAGTTTTTTTGCTTTGCAAAGAGAAATGACATATTCAACTGTCGCAAAATTAGCATCGGACCCAACGTTATCGATTCTGAAATGACATAACCGCATAATATAGACACAAAAAAATATCCAGACGAACTGAAACCGTCCCTTCAAAAAATAAATACTCTCACAATTGTTTAAAAATAAGGAAATAGAAAACAGCTTATAAAGTATAATGGAAAAATTGCAGAATATAAGGAAAAAATTACAGAAAACTAGTTCACGAATAAATGATGGATTGATGAACTAGCATTTTTTTATTGTGCAATGGCATACTTATGATCTACTTTAATGATATATTTTATCCAATTTAAATAAAAGAAAATCCAATAGTTTACCAGAATGATCATGACATTGTCTTTTAGAAACCTGGACAGTAGCATGAACATCATACATTAGACTAAATTAACAATGCCATCCTCTTCGATAATGCCTGATCTGCGCAAGTACTTTTCATGTGAATATTTTATTATAAAATAAAAAAAGTATTTAAGTCTTAAGCAAATGAAATTGTTGTTATGAGCCCAATTTGGTCTAAAGAAAGTTACAAATTTTAAAATAATACAATAAAAAGTATAAAAATTGAGAAAATTTCTTAGGATACTCGATAAATTGTTAATTCTTGCTAAAGCCGTGATGATGGAGAAAAAACAACATATTGAGAGCATTGATACTGAAATATGGCTACAAAGGACCAATTCAAGGCTGTATGCGCCTTGTTCTTTGCCTGTCCAATTTTGGACGACTATTAAAACAACAACAACAACACGAAATATGCCAACATCATAATTATTTGTCAGTTTCCAAAAACAATTTAAAAATTTTCATTGTCTCTGATTGATTATTCAAAAAGTGCTCTACTTATGAACCTAAATGTTATTTTCCAAAACGAGTTTGCCATCAAAATTTAAATTTTAAATCATAATTTAATAAGTATATTATTGTATGATTAATGATTTAGTTCGTAGACAGAGAGACACTTTTTAAATAATCAGTCAAAAAAGAAATATTTAAAATTTATAGATAACTATGACGTTACATTACGTCAAGCTAAAATTATTAGTGCTCTTAATTAATCTACCAATTACTGATATTATTCATTTAATATCTAATTTCATTTGCTATTAGTGAACTGACAAATTAAATCTTAGTCGAAAAGAAACTTTACAATCTAATTAATTACAAATTGATAATAGCAAATTTTCGTCAAAGGTAACAAACAATAATATTTCAACACGCAATATAAAAGACGTAATCTATTACCACATTTGATAATATTACCATATTTGAGAAAATGCAATTAAGTATCGAATTAAATATTAATAATAATTTTTAAATTACAATTATTACAACAGAATGAAATTATAAAGAAAAATAATATAAAATTAACGATATCAAATATTGACATATGAATAAATAAATAATAGATATAATAGTAAAGAAAGAATAATTAAAATAAATAAAACAACCCAAATACTGTTAACAATTAAAGGAACAAGGCACCATACGTTAGTGGAAGAGAAAGAAAGTTCTAAAACTTCGTACCAAGCCGATTAGCCAACACAGTAATAGTAGGATAATATCATCCATATATGGAAGAAAATATTCAGCAGAGAGACTAATCGATTTTTATAATTTTATTATTTACTTTAGGATACTAAGACGATAAATCCATAGAATATTATAATTAAATAAATTGAAGAAATTCATTTACCAATACGAGTACTGAGATAAAACGCATTGTCTGTCTAGTTATAAAATAATTTGAAAACGACCAAAATCGAAATAGGTGGCAGGACATTGTGAGAACAAACGATGTTCCGGAATATTTCACCAATTTATCCATCCATATTTAAAGGATTTTTACGATGATAAAAATAAGCCCGTTATCAGATTTTCAACATCCAATCGTGATTGTATAAAGGCCCGTCTAGATGCGATGTAGTGACAGCGGGAGGCGCAATGATGCCGCCGGGTAGCGGCTAAACAATTAGACGGGAAACAGCGAACAGGAGGCGTTGTCATGTGGCACTCGCTAATTACTCGGCTGCACCGGATCGCGTCGTGCACGTGGGGCGCGCCGCGCAGGTGCCGCCGACCTCGCACTATCTCGTCTCGCCACTCGAGGCCGCGATGATAACGCACGCTATTTTCGACCACCGTCGTCAGCTCGACAGCAGTGACCGTCGCAAACGCAAACGTAAAATTACCACGAGTTCTCCCAAAACGAATAAAGTGCAGCTAGCGGAATATCCTCGGCGAGGGGTCGCGGCGAGTACGATTTACGCGAGCCTTCTCGATATCGGCATGTCGCGATAGCAGATGAGAGAGCGACAGTCAATTTGCGGAGCCGACCGCCGTCGACACAATCCGCTCGACGACTGAGTGGCCGTTGAGGTTCGCGGACGGACGGCACCGTCTCAGAGGAAGGCGGACGAGGCGGGAGGAGTGCGACCTCCGGAACCCAGCGCCGATCGTCGCGAGTGAAACCGACGGCGGACGAAATTGCGAGGAGGGAAGCATGCGGGGGGCGCGCACGCGGTCGAGCGCAACGCTCACTGCTGCACCGCTCTCAACACTTTACATAACGCTGCACGGACGATGTGCGTTGTACTCGACAAACTCGCTCGCACCGCCTGTAAAATGAGGTCGCCTCGACGGCCGCGACGGGACACACACAGAATTTAAAGAGGCAGCGATCGGTCGTAGGTGATGAAACGACTGCATTAGCACGCAGATGACGTGTTCCAAGGAGTTAGTCGGTCGCCGACGGAGTCACTGAACCTCGGTGCCAACCAATAAGGTGAATGGAACACTGCAAGTATTGCAGCCGAAATGAACACGACAGTGTGAAACGACGACGCCGGAGACCACTGTACTTGTACTATAGCAGTCCGTAGTGTTTCTTTTGCACGATGCTATTTAGCTTTCTAATAAAATTAAACGTTTCAATAGTAGACTTGTCATTGAAAATATAAAAGATCTCAGAGCATTGTATAGAATTCTACATTCCTTCTACAACAGACGTAACAAAAAGATTTTCAACCTTACTGTTTTTATACAGTAAATAAGTAACAACATCCTTCAATGCAATAAATCAATTCCAATCACGTGAAATAAAAAATAAATGAAAAACATAAACAAGGCAAATACCGTTTTACTTCGTAGAAACATTAGACAGAGCTGTGTTGTACATTATGTCATGTTACTAATCTCACTAATAGGATTTCTACATGTGTCGATCTAGTACTCTGGCCTCCTACGCGACACCGCATTGCGCGAATGATACTGGCACGTGTTATCTGTTATATTATTATAAATAGTAAATATCTTCATACATATGAACAATACGCGAACGCTCGAACAGTAAAATCTCAGACCATTTTACCCTTTGTAGCCTGAAATTAAAAATCGCCAACAAATTTTGCCATAAATCTGATCACCTACTTTTGAGGGAAATACATTTTTTTGGTGATTCGTTCGTGCATATGATCCGTGATATAAAGGCATATAAATAAAATCTAAAATAAATCCAGGTGTAAATTACTATGAGGGACATGATAGTTAGCATTTTGGATATACTTTATTCTTAAGATAGCTACATATTACATTATAATAAAGTAGGTCCATCATTTCATTATATATCTGTATATCTTAACCTGTAAAAAATAAATAAAAAGAAATTATACTGAACATTCTGTCAAAAATTATCTAGTTACCATAAACGTGGTGAACGACAGGATAGATCTATATCGCAGGAACGGCTTGATTTTAATGGTGGCAGCCAATAAGGCTTCCGTCATGAAGCCTTTTTATTGTTTCAGTGTTGGATTTAACCAATTGAGGCAAATAATCAAGCTAGTATTTCTAGAGAACTGATTGTTTCGTTGAAAACCGTGCAATGTTAGTGAACTACATACGTTCAGTCACGTAGGTTTCGATTGAAACGAATAGTGATAACTGAATTTTGTAACCTTATTTATTTCATTTGAAAATAATAAAGCTCCAGGAAATGTAAAGGCAGGACATAAACGACTGTATATAAACGTGTAAAAGAAGAACATAACAGTGCAACTCGCGACAAGTGAGAAAAATGGGGAGAGCAGGGTGAGCATTATTTGGAGTGCAACTCACAGGAACACATAAGCGCTGTGGGTGCAGGTTCCGATAAGGTGGCAGCTAGGGGACAGGTCGGGCAGGGAGAAGGGGGGAGGGCGACGCATGCGTGCGGCGGCTGACCTTGGTGCGGTGCAGCGTGCAGCCCGGGCTGCCCCCTCGCTCCCCGGCCGGGGAACACCGCCACACAAACACTTCCCATCGCTCCACGTCCTCTTGTAACCACACCTGCCGGTTATGCAGGTTGTTTCTGCCTAGCATCGTGCCTAGATTCTATTTCTGAATTGTGATTACCGGATTCCATTTAGGGCTATGATAAGGATACTGTAATAAAAGAAACTCAGAGTACTGTACGTATAGAAGCAACATCTCATGGTTATTGGGCTCAATTATATTCATATCAAACTTAGAGTAGATAGTTTACAGAAATGCACTCGTAATAACTGTACTAACCGAAACAAATCGGACAAGACGAGAATAGAGCGATATGCATGAAGTTTGTAAAGGTTGCAGTATTAAATCAGTAATCAATAATAAAACATTTAGCGGCCCGAGAGTCAAGTGGAAACATCGTCAGGGGGCCACGGCACCCACCGGATGTCGAGATATGAGCCGCCTGCGTTGTGCGAAAGCTACCTGATTAACAGACATTATAACCAAAATTTTTAAAATTATAATACGCCTTTCGTATTGGACTGATTGATAACATAAATCGCAGGAGCAATAGGTAGGTGTTACATTCGATGTTTTTAAGGTAGCAAGGACAATACGATGTGCTAGTAAGCGTAACTGTTACCTTACATATATACACTTCTACATAATATAAGGGCGATGTTAAATATGTTATTTCTTATGATACAAATAAACGCCTACTCCAATTTTAACAGATGATGTATTAATTAATATCACAATAATAATTATGCATTAGCGCCATTTAGGGGTAAACAACATGCACAAATAATTGTGAATTAGGAAATGAGAACAGCCAAAAGTGTAGCTTGATCAAATTTCGGTAGAACTGTCGTCTCCAAAAATTGTAATGTGAAACGTTGAATAAGGGATACTGGTTTAACTACTTTTATAAATAACCAGTGAGTTCTCGAAAATTTGTTCATGTTCTTGTTAAAATGTGAGTCAAGAAGAAAATTATATCTAAAGAGAGGTGACTCTTTAATAGCTTCAAAAGTTCAGAATATTTATATTGCACTATTGTTATATGGGTCAATTTATAAAAAGTCTTTTTCTATGTATAATTATTTAAAGTTTAAAGGAGTAAAAAATGTAAAAATACGTCTGTCTGTACAGTCGACACTAACTTTTGCTTGTAATTTTAAAATAATGGGGCAATGGTCAGACACTTCGACAATTTTTATATTTATAGGAATTAAATAATCGAGTTCATTGGAAATTTCAACAGATAACGGAGCTATATAGTTACCGTTATATAACCTCCTAATACATAGGCAATACGTATCTAATGTGAAACATTTCTCTTTATAACGTGCTCTCGACTGTTTATTTACAATTCTAATAGTATTTGTTCAGAAAACTTTCTGAAAATCAGTTATATTAATGTATAAAATTTGATGTTTTTCAACGTGATCTTTTACCATGACTGAATAGTAATTGGATTCGAGTCCGTTAGCATAACCTTAAGACGGTTCCGGTCTACTGTAAAACTGTCAACTTCTGTATTACCTGACACAATTTTAAAATTAAATAATTTACATAACTTCCCTATTAAGTGCTCGTATAATGAACTGAAACGTAAATTATTATAGTTGAATAAGTTTCCTATTAAAAGATCATTAAAATTTTGGATTTGGACAAAAAAAGAAATTCGATAACGTCAAAAAAATTATATAATAACTAAATTATAATAATAGTTTACGTGCAACGAGTTCTGTGATTAACGTTTTCGAGAAACAGAAATACAATTCAAAATAATCATTGAAGATATATTGAAAATTGACAGATAATGCAAATGTTACAAGATTTCGGATTGTAGAAAAATAGACCTAAATTGTAATACTTAATCAAATTAAAATTAATTAAATCTATATTTTTTGTCCTCCAAAGCGAAAACCAGTAGCTGGTATAATCGTTACTAATGGGTAAATCGTTCCTCGCACGCCGCCAGCGGAGCTCGCTCGCTTGACCGGCCGCCGCGCAAACGATGTCTCCGGAGGTTCAATATACTACAGGCGCGTACATACACGTCCTCACAGACCAGTCGCAGATGGCGAGGTCACGCGATCCCTTTCACCATTCTGAATGCCCGGTACCGTCGCCGCGACCTTACTTACAAGCCTTGATGATACGATTGTTTACTGCGCCTAATATAAAGCTCGCGGTATTTTGACGGCTACTTGTAATTAGAAACTTGTATCAAATCAATTGAGCTATTACGACTAGATGCCTACATCGGCTCTGTTCGGTACTTGTCATTTCATGCCATAAGTATTTCTGCAAAGGAATTTCCTAGCAGGTCGAGAGATTCATTATTTTTCAACTTAATTATTTTATAATACTCAAATGGAGGGCTTACATTTCGAAAATACTGGTATTTTCAAATCCTTTCTTACTGTATGTTTCTGTCCCCAATAGACTAGTGTGTCAATAGTTCAGACAGCCAAAACTTTTGTATACAGTTACGCTTCATATTTTCTTATTAATAATTAGCTACTATTTTTATCTCCACTAATTTTCAATTTTTGTTAGACGTCAAAGGTTGACTGGAAGAAATCCCTTTTATGGGATAAGTTCGCCAATGCATCCATTCTTTACTTAAGAACTCTGTATCCTATAATGTATGACTTTACTGTGCAATAAAGTGTTACAAACAATTTTTTTTTTATTTCAATTACAGTAGAGGTATAATTTGTTTCATTTCATAGCTTTGAGTACTTACTTTGTAAGTAATAGTTGTAGAACTAGCAATTAGATTTCAATAGATAAATTGCCACATAGCTGTAAAAGTAGAGAAGTAAAGAAAACGGATACTATACAATGTAATGCTATCTAGCGAGTCAGTAAACACCGAATGGAATGACTTGTTTGCCACCTACGTACGAGTGCAACATTTTATGGTTTTATTACAAAGTGCATGTCGAGTTTCAAGTTAAGGAGCGTTTAAATAATAATATTTAATATAGAGTTCCCGATACTTGTTCACAAAACAACTTTTAGCGTTTACACGAAGTTAAAACTTTTTACAAACTAGTCGAACACGAAATCTTTCAAACTTTCTAGAGTATTGAAGTTTTTCACTTCATACTATTTGTTATTATATGATTGACTTGTAAACTAGTTGCTCTGGGCGTTATTCCTGGTCATTGGAAAAAAACATTTCCATCTTTTACTTATGGGTGGGAATAATATAAAACTTCCGAACCAAACCTCATTAAACTAAACAAGTGCTTACATCATACTAATAAAATTAATAGAGAAGACAGAAAAATAATTAAAAAGAAAAATTATAAAGAACGAAGAAAAGGAAGAAATGAGAAAAAAAGAATAAATAAGAACCAACAAATAATTCCTTTCAAACAACAGATGCACCAGAAACCGAATACAAACTCTTCCGCGTTAAAACTTTCGAAGTACAATAGTATAGAAATGAAAAGTACGTTGATTACAAAATCGAGAAAGCAAATAATTCCTTTGATTCGTTCCACATTTATAATGTGAACGGAGCCTATGACACGATAACAACATTTTTTTTTACAGTTTCCCATTGATTTAACGTTTAAATGATTTGATAATGTGATCACGTGTTGGTATGGTAGGAAAGTTGGTCAGCTACGCCGTTAGAGGCAACAGTGAGTGGCCACAAAGCTGATAAGGGAAGTGTAAACACGATAACATAGCTTATAGCCAGACGAACGCTGTCCTTGGAACGAAATGCATTGAATACTGTAGCTGGAGCAGGGACTCCAGTTTTAGTATTCCTTTATATATGGAATAAAATGCGAGTAGGCCCAATAAGTTTGGAATCAATATTGAGAAATCGTTTCTTACGCTATCGGCAAACAAAGTATCTACTAATGTGTGTGGTTTCAAAATTGATTGGATCTTATTAATTTACAATCTCATCTACTTTATAGCTAGTTTTCAATATTAATTTGGTCTCGATTCTATTTTTAATTTGATAATTCTCTGGTATTTACCCATGTAAATTACCTACTATTATTCGATTATAAATATTGTAAACATGATGAAAACTGTTTTTTTATACTCAACGAGACATTCGAGTCGTCTAGTGATGTAGGTACTAAACAATTGCTAAGCAAGTGAGGCACGCACGACCGTTACGCAATTGTACCTTGTACTAGTTTTCCTTGTGGTAAACAAATTTGAAAATCTCTGTACTTAGAGAAGGATTTGTACGAGTTAAAATTACTAGGTACAACATAATCTTTTAAACGAAGCGCATTAAACCGTGGCCTGCGATGCGTGTGCACATGTACCCCACCCGTCGCCCCGCAGCGTAACCGTCCCCCGCGCCCCCCGTCACACGCTTCGATCAGCTGACCGAACTCTAGAGCGAGCGCCC